TTTGCTGGGTTGGGCATCTGTACTGGATGAGAGACTTTTCCTGGTTGACTATACTGTTGGAACCACTATTCTTATCGCCCCAAAATACAGCGAAGGAATAGCTACCCTTCTTGCACAGTGGTTAATTAATTTGTGACATATTCACTGAGCCATTTGGACTGCAGAAATAAACCCTGCTAAACACATAATTGACAGTCTGGTTTCTTATCTAAGCCAACCAGCTTACTTTCAGTTCGGGTACTTGAAGACATTCCAATACTAACTTTTTTGATTCTAGGGACAAGCTCTTAGTTTCAAGTCAAGATTGCCACCGCGTTTTCAGTGTCCTCGTATCTCATTGTCATAAAAGAGATCTCTGCTTTCATTACTTTGGGAATAACTCTGAAGATTGGACAGAAGTGCTTGTATAACTGTATTTAAATTCATGCTGTATTTAGGCCTGAAAATAGGTTTTAACTGGTGGCGTAGCTCTTGGCTACCTGGATAAAAAAATTCTGCAATAGAGGCATTGGGGTAAGACTTTGGCACCTGTAACTCTCCTGTTCCCCAACAATCTTTTATCTAAAAGTTTTAGCATCTATTGGTGAACCAGGCACCAAGTCATTATTTTATTAGGAATGGCTAGATGTTGGCATTCTTCTGTGAAAACAAGCTTTCTCTTACCAACTGTGATAAATTGTAATTCTTTATAAAAAAGACAGTAAATACTAAAGTCCTTTCCTTTGATTATCAGTTTTTCTGAGTAGAATTGCTCTAATGACATGTTTAGTGGTGGTAAATGTGTTTCTTTCTTTCTTTTTCCTATTTAAAAAAGTTATCTTTGGTCATTGTGATGGGCTCATGGATTTCTATTCACCCAGTATTTTACAACCAGTTACACTCTTCCTCATTTTAGTGTTCAGATTACCCAAAAGTTGGCCAGCAGAAGATGTTTCAAGCTCTTTTGTATCCTTTCTGACATGACACCTTTTTGTCTCAGAGCACTTCTTTGCTTTTTGGCACAGAAAGTGTCTCAGGCTTGTCTTGTACTTTTCCTGCCTCAGGTCTGTAGTCAGTCATTTCTCAAAGGAATCCTACTTCTTTCTAGTGGGAACAGTATTTAGAAAGCAAGACCCCAATGCTGACGGTGCTCACTGCTACTAGGTTGTATGGCATCTAGGCTTAGTCAGTGGGTGGATGGAGACCTGCCTCCCTGCGTGTGTTGTGTGTACTTACTAGAGTTTCTATTCTCATTTCCAGTTTATCTTTAACATTTTCATTTAACATTAAGTATTTTTCTTTATTCTTCATTTTATGTTTACTTTAAAAAGTTCTAATCAAATTTAATATGCTGCAGTGTAACTCTGCATTACTCATCATTGCTCTATGGAAACATTTTCCAAAGTAAAGTGTTACGGTCCTTTTCAAGGTAGAATGCAGGCAGGTGATAGTGGTGGTCGTGAGGTGTGTGTGTGTGTGTGTGATTAAATTTTTGATGAAATCAAAGGTAATGTCTGCCCATGATTCCTTTTGAATTTCTTAGCAAAATGCACCAAAAGGACTTCTATTTCACTCGAATAAGGCGGGGGGGGGGGGGGGGGGGGCTTAAGAAAAAGGTTTAAGTTTTTATACACTGAGGTAGATGCTGTGGAGAATTTTAACCAAGTGCCTGCCTTTAAGGGGCTGTCATTTTTGGTGGAGAGAAAATGGCTTTCTCAAACAGAGCAATCGGCAGTTCATAATTACCTCTAATCATAGAGGAAATGATGGGAGATGAAAAATTAGGGAAGGCTTTCTGAAGGAGTGAAATACGAGCTGGGCCTTAAGGAAGTCTAGTCTTCTAAGTAAAAATTAGGAAAGTTTTGTTTTGTTTTAGTTTTTTGTTGTATCTTGAAAAGTATTTCTTGGTCTTAGATAATTATCTCCCTTCCTGGCAAGCTGGGAGCCAATGAGTTAGGTTTAGAGTTCTGGGTACTGTATTTGCTTGGTCTTTACCGCTGTCATTTCTTCCGGTTTGCTGTTTTGGGGGAATCACCTAGTCTTGAATTTATTGTTAGAACCTTTGGATGGCAATGGGTTCCTGTTTTCTAGTCAGTTGTATTGTTGACTCCTGCTTAAAATGATTAATCGTCTTGTGTGATAAAATGCTAATCAGAATCCCAATCTAATTAATGGTGTAGTTTTTTGCTCTCCATGTCTATTGGTACATGCGTGCACATTTACACTTGGAATGTATTATACAACAAAAGTATTTGTTACAAGTTTTTGTAGTTTACAGACTGATATTCTGTTTTTTCATTTGGGGCACTCCTCACAAAATCCTTCTCAGGTAGCCGGTATCTCCAATTTACAAATTATGGTAAGAAAATCCAGGGAAAGTGGGAAAACTAGGAATTCCATCCTGGTCTTGTTTGCTTTACAGAATTTCCAAGCTGGTCACACCAACTGAAGGATGAGCGTGGAGCTGGAGTGAGGGTGGTGTGGGGTGAGCTGTGAGGTGAGCCTTGTGAAGAAGGCTCGGTGTTCAATGAGTTTTTATTTGTTGTGCATCTTGCAGATCCATTGCTTCAAGTGTAATGAATTTCAAGAAAAAAAAAAAAAAAACACCCCAAAACGGCTTCTTGTGTGAGATGAAAACAAATTTTTTAATAGCTAATATATATACATTGTATAAAACACAGTATTCAAAGAGGGTGGTAAAGTCTCACTGTACTGTTGATCCGTACATGGTCTCCCAGACCCCTCTTCACATGCTTCAGAAGGAATTGTTACCAGTCTGGTTGCTTGTGTATCTTCTGAGATGTGTTTGCATGTATATCTTTAATGTATGTTCTTAAGAACATTGGTGCTTGTTCCATACTGAGCACATAGTGGCCCTGTTCTTTTAAAGGGCCCCAGGCTACTAACTTTTTAATAACTTAGGAAAGCTGTTTGTGTTTTGCAATCTGCCCTGGAATGTTAATTCCATGATGAATAGAGAGTTGTTTTTTTTTTTTTTTTTTTTTTTAAAGACATACTTTGTTTCAGAGTCCTTTTCAGATGAAGTATATATTAATCTTTCAAATGAAATTCCTGGAATGAAGTGGCTCTAAAGTTCATTTCAACTTGCCATTATTTTGGAGTTGGGTACCTAGGATATATCGACAGGATAGAAAACACATTAAGGTCAAATTACCAGTTGGAGTGTCTTTGTGAGAGTGGCACAGCTAAAGTGAATAGATTTAGCTAGCTATTTATTAATTACATAATTTATTGTCAAGTTAGCTAACATACAGTGTATACAGTGTGCTCTTGGCTTTAGGAGTAGATTCCTGTGATTCATCACTTACATACAACACCCAGTGCTCATCCCAAGCGCCATTCTCAATGTCCATCACCCATTTTCCCCACACCCCCTCACTCCACCCCATCAACCCTCAGTTCTCTATATGTAAGAGTCCCTTATGGTTTGCCTCCCACTCGGTTTGTAACTTTTTTTTTTCTTTCCCTTTCCTTCATGGTCTTCTGTTAAGTTTCTCAACTTCCACATTTGAGTGCGAACATATGATCTCTGTCTTTCTCTGACTGACTTATTTCATTTAGCATAATATCCTCCAGTTCTATCCATATTGTCACAAATGGCAAGATTTCATTCTTTTTCATTGCCCAGTAATAGTCCGTTTATCAGTTGTCTTCTTTATCCGTTCATCAGTTGATGGACATTTGGGCTCTTTCCATAATTTGGCTATTGTTGAAAGCACTGCCCTAAACATGGGGGTACATGTGCCCCTATGAATCAGCACTTCTGCATCCTTTGGATAAATTCCTAGTAGTGCTATTGCTGGGTTGTATGGTAATTTTATTTTTAGTTTCTTGAGGAACCTCCATACTGTTCTCCACACTGCACCAGTTTGCATTGCCACCAACAGTGCAAGAGGGCTCCCCTTTCTCCCCATCCTTGCCAACATTTGTTGTTTTTGAGTTGTTAATTTTTGGACAAAAGTGAATAGATTTAATTAAATGAATACGTCATGCATCATTCTTGGGCTCCAGGAAAAAAAACAAAAGGCCAGGTGAGTTCTGGAGGAGAGGATAATGGGGATGGGTCTGCTTCTGCTTGGTCTGTACAGTGTGTAAGCAATTTTCTGTTTCAGGGCTTTTTAGTCTAGAGTTGCTTGACATAGGCTTTGGCAATATGATGTCTATAGTATTTTTTTTAAATGTTTATTTTTGAGAGAGAGAGAGACCACGAGCACAAGTTGGGGAGGGGCATAGACAGAGGGAGACACAGAATCTGAAGCAGGCTACAGGCTCTGAGCTGTCAGCACAGAGCCTGATGTGGGGCTCAAACCTGTGAACCGTGAGATCATGACCTGAGCCAAAGTTGGACGTTTAACTGACAGAGCCACCCAGGTGCCCCAATGTTTGTAGTATTTGTATTCGTGTTCTAATGAAAGACTCTTACCTACTTAAGGCTTGTTCAGAAGTATGAACTTCACAGCAATTGCATTTAAGTCTTAAGCAGTAAACACAGTGCTTCTACTGTTGAGACTTGACTCAAACCAAGCTCATTATGAAATTAAATTCCAATGTAAAGTGTAAAGTGAAAATGTAGTTAATGTGGCTCTGTCAATGATCAGGGCTTTCAACCACTTCCTCAGTAGCAGAAACTGAGAGAGGAGTGAAGATAATGAAATGTCTAGTGTAATAATTTAAGTAGTTCACATGTGTCCATGGGGCCGGCAGCAAATGTCTTTCTCCAGGCCTGCTCCTCCCTTTCTCCTTCCACCCAAGTCCTCAGGGGAGGCTTCCCTGTATGTCTGAGGTTTCAGTGGCACACAGAGGTATGTTCTGCACACAGGGAAGCACAGCTGTGGTTTCCTTACCAAGTCTATTGTCGAGCTGTAGCTTTCCTCTCCTGGGGCAATAAAACTTGAGGCTTAGTCTCAGATGTGGAGGACTGTGGGGACCTGTCCTAAGGGGTTAATTAAATGCACCAGTTTAATATTTGTGAAAATAGTGTGCCTGTTATTCCTTGACAGGAATATCTCAGCGTGGCCAAGGTCGCCGCTCACTCAGGTATACACAGATATCTGAAAAGCTTTGAGAAATGTACCCTGTGATAATTATAGCATTAATTTCAGAGAGCCATCTCACGTTCCTGAGAAGGAGCAGAGCCTGTTCTGGCAGATGTTGAGTATGAGCCCGTCTGTTAGGAGGAAACCCCTGAAGCTGTACTTCTGCCGAGAAGTTGGGGGTGTGATTGATGTGGTGAATAAGAAAGTCTTGTTCTGGGGGCTAAAATTGGATTCTGTGGTTGCCAAGAGCCTTGGCTTCAGTTGCTTGTATGGGGCTGATAGGGAAAAAGGACTATTGGAAAAAAAATTCCTAAATGCAACAGTTAACATTGCATACATCAGAATGGAAACAAAAACTGGGAGACCTGATAGCCTAGAGTGCCAAACCAAGAGAAGTGTCAAAGTCTCTTCTCCTCAGGTGTGAGATACTCCACAGCACCTAGGATGCAGAAAGGCACAGTTAGGAGTTTACTTGCTTCCTAGGAATGCAACTCTTGTGCTCCTACCAGCCCTCCCCTGTCAGCCCCACTTCCTCCTTTCCCTGCCCAAGACCTTGCCATCCATTTCCTTCATTGGCCAGTCTGGCCTCTTTTTACCCTGAAATCCTTAAACATTAACGGTCTGCCACACAACTGTGCAGTTATTTATATTTTGCCTTGTAATGGTCCTTATCTTGTTTGGAGTATTGTCCCTCCTTCCTATATTTACATCATTCACTCCTTGGGTAAGATGCCCTTTGCTCATAACGGTTGGTCGAATCATCTCTCCCTCAAGCCTTCCTTCCCTTGAACTTCAGAGAGTAGGAAACTTCTGTTTTCCTTAGCTCACTTCCATCCTGGTAGACACCCAGACAGACTTTTCCACAGTAGCCAGGCCTCCTTACCTGTCTTCTTTGCCTCATCCACTGAGCTACTTTCACCTAGGGTGACTTCCTTCCTATGTGTGGGCTCCCGCCTGCCAGGCCTGTAAATCATGGGTGTTTGCTTTCTTCTGGGCATGCCCCAGAGTTGTAAGCAGGTTTTATCTCTTAATTCTGGAAATAACCCTGTGGGCTAAGTACACTTAACTCTGTGTTGTAGACAAGTGACGAGGCACCCGCAGTCTGAGTGACTTACCCAAGATCTCAGAGCTGGCAAGTGATTGGAGCTGAGACAGCAACCATGTCTTCTGACTTGAGAGCCTGTGCTCTTGACCAACCACTACCAAGCAAGTTAACATATGCTGGGGCCTAGGTGGGGCTGGATGCCAACTAATATTCTGACTGTGCAGAATAAACCTATCTGCCCCTGGACTATGTCTGCTGGGTACTTCTATCGTCATAATCACTTTCTTTGAGGCATTGAAATGACACATGATAATGGCCCCCATACCTGTGTCTTTTTGCACTGACTCTTTTTCTGAGTGTCAGACCTGTGTGTCCACTTGCCTCGGACATGTTTCCCCATGAGTATCTCCGGGACCACAAATTCAGGTGTTGAACACAAAACTGAGAAACCTTGGTAAGGTCAGTGGATTGTGTCAATGCCACTATCCTGGTTGTGATACTTTTTTTTTTTTTTTTTTTTTTCAACATTTATTTATTTTTGGGACAGAGAGAGACAGAGCATGAACGGGGGAGGGGCAGAGAGAGAAGGAGACACAGAATTGGAAACAGGCTCCAGGCTCCGAGCCATCAGCCCAGAGCCTGACGCGGGGCTCGAACTCACAGACCGCGAGATCGTGACCTGGCTGAAGTCGGACGCTTAACCGACTGCGCCACCCAGGCGCCCCCTGGTTGTGATACTTTAATGTAGTTTTGTAAGATGTTAGCTTTTGGGGAAGGTAGGTGAAAGGTATGTCGGATCTCTGTGCAGTATTTGTTACAACTGCACAGAGTTTAATTAAAACAGAAAGTTAATAAAAACAAACAGAATGAACTCAGCCCTTTCACCCCTCCCCCCTGCTCCCTGTCTCCACTCCACATCTCCGTCAGTGGCTCCAGGATCTGCTCAGCCACCCCACTGAGAAATCTGGAAGATGCCCTGCTCCTCTCTTTCCTTCTCTCCAGTATCAGGTTGGTTACCATGTCACCTGCCTCTTTTTCGTTCCCTCCTTGGTCACCTCCCCAATGCTCTTGATAGTCTCCTTACACTTTCTCTCCCCTACAACTATCTGAGAAGGTCTTAATTTACATATCTGATCCTACCATTCTTTTGCTTAAAATCCTTCAGTGGCTTTTAATCATTTGTGATGAAAGACCAAATTCCTTAGGTCATCACTACCAGGGTCAGAGTCATCTGGGCTGCTGGTTATTAATGCAGAGTTCTGGACCCCACTCCAGACTTCTGAGGTTGAAATCTCTGGAGTCAGAGCTAAATCTGTGTGTTTAACCAGCGCCCTCTGGTGACCATTTCATGCACTAGCGTTTGAAGACCTCTGGCCTGGGTCACCTATCTGGTCTCAAAGGCGCTTTCTGTCCTTCTGCCTTTCTGTTTTCTGCATTGCCTAGGACATTGCACAGTGCTCTTTGTGTCTGTGGAACTCCTTTGTACTTACTGTCCCTCAAGGCTTGACTACAATGTCCACTTGCTTCCTCTCCTGGGTCACGTGACGTGTCAGAGCACTTAACCTCACTGCTGTCAAGATCTGTATCCCTATGTGAATTGCCCCAATTAGGGGCTGCTTTATCTTCAACCCCCTGTAGCCTCAGAGCCCAGGACAGTTTCTGGCCCATAGTAGGCACTTAATGTTTGCTGCTTATAATACCCATAATTTTTATTTTATTTTGAGTAGCCACCTTGATCTTTTAATTAACAGTACTTCATATTGTTGCTCAGTAAATAAAACCAGAGAGAAATAGCCAGTTAAAAAATAACATAGGAAAATTACTCATCCAGACAAAAACAGATACTGGCTATTTGCCATTAAACACCCGTGTTCTACAGGTAATTCTGTATTAGTGGAAAACTTTTTTAAAACATGAAAAAAATGTCATACTCTGTTATCACAGCCTTCCTACTGTCTCCCTCCACTGCCATTTACAACCCCCCCCCCCCCCCCCCCCCCTGCCCTTTTCAGCTTTCCAGCCAGAGGGCCTGATTTCAGTGACTGACCATTCAGCAAAACACAGCATTCCAGCCATTGGGCTGACGCTGTCGGTCTCCGGGTGCACTGAGACAGCACTTTTCATCTGGACTATTCTTTATCCAGCCTGCCAATCAGCATGCTGATTTCCCCCTTTCATTTCCCAAGTGAATAGTGGCTGAATAGGGAATTTCAGGTTTTTCTGTGAATCATTTTATAGGATACAACTGATTAACTTTTTTAAGCCTTTTATTATGGAAATTTCACACATGTACAGATACAGAAGAATAAAGTCCCTATTACAGTTCACCCAGGTTTAACCATTGACCCACGGACACCCTTGTTTTTGCCCCTCTCCTCCCCACTGCCCACCCCCTCAAAGTCCTGTATCATCTTGCAGTGGATTACTTTTTACCAGTATGGGATAGTCTTTTACTTCATGCAATGCAGATGATTTCTTACTGATAGTAACGTATTTCAAGAAAACATTTAATAAAATTATATAGCAGCTATATTGAGATATTAACAAACTTTGCAGTTCATGTAAAGTATACTTTAGTGGTTTCAAACCTCATGTTGGGTGTAGAGATGACTTAAAAATCTTAAAATTTTTTTTGAGTATATTTGGTATCCAGTGTTACATTAGATTCAGGTATACGACATAGAGATTCAATATTTCTATATGTTATGCTGTGCTTACAAGTGTAGCTACCATCCATCACCATAAAATGCCGTGATAATACCACCGACTATAATACCTATACTGCACCTTTTATTCCCATGACTCATTCATTCCATAGTTGGAAGACTGTGTCTTCTACTCCCCTTCTCCCATTTTGCACATCCCCCGACCCTTGTCCCCTTTGGCAACCATTAGTTTGTTCTCTGTATGTATAGATCTGATTTTGCTTTTTGTTTGTTCATTCATTTGTTATTTTAGATTCTACAAACGTGTGAAATCCTAGGGTGTTCGTCTCAGTCTTACTTCACTTAGCATAATACCCTCTAAGTCCATCCATGTTGCAGATGGCAAGATCTCATCCTTTTTTACAGCTGCGTAATATCCCATTTGTGCGTGTGTGTGTGTGTGTGTGTGTGTGTATACACACACACACAGAGCACATGTTTATCCATTCATCTGTTGATGGACACATGGTTGCTTCCATAATTTGTCTATTATGAATAATATTTCAGTAAGCATAGAGGTGAATATATCTTTTTGAATTACTGTTTTTGTATTCTTTGGGTAAATACCCAGTAGTAGAATTATGGATCATATGGTAATTCTGTTTTTAATTTTTTGAGGAATGTCCAACAGGGCACATCCTTGCCAATACTTCTTTGTTGGGCTTTTGATTCTTGCCATTCTGACAGATGTGAGGTGGTGTCTCATTGTGGTTTTGATTTGCATTTCCCTGATGATCAGTGATGAGCGTCTTTTCATGTGTCTGTTGGCCTTCTGTATGTCTTCTTTGGAAAAATGTCTATTTAGATTCTCTGCCCATTTTAAAATCAGATTGTTATTTCGATGGTGTTGAAGTTCTCTACATCTTTTGCATGTGAACCACTTTATTAGGTATGTCAGTTGCAGATCTCTTCCCCTATTCAGTAGGTTGTCTTTTTGTTTTGGTGATGGTTTCCTTGTTGCATACAAGTTTTTGGTGAAGTCCGAGTAGTTTAATTTTCTTGCTTTTGTTTCCCTTGCCTGAAGAGACCTATCTAGAAAAATGTTGCTACAGCTGATGTCAAAGAGATTATTACCTATGTTCTCTTCTAAGAGTTTTATGTCTCACATTTAGGTCATTAATCCCTTTTGAGTTGATTTCTGTGTGTAGTATTACAAAGTGGTCCAGCTTTATTCTTTAACACGCAGCTGTCCAGTTTTACCAGAACCATTTATTGAAGTGATTTCTTTCCTCATTGCATATTCTTGCCATGGCCACATTTTAGGACATTTTTGTTGCCCTTGAAAGAAATCATGTACTCTTTAGCCATCACTTCTCATTTGCCCTCCCTCCCCATCTACACTAGGCAATCTAATTAGCCCCTCTAGATTGGCCTATTCTTAACATTTCATATAAATGGAATCCTACAATATGTGGTCCTTTGAAACTGCCTACTTCCAGTTAGCATAATGTTTTCAAGGTTCATCCATGTTGTAGTATGTGTCAGTAGTTCATTTCATGCCTTCTCAGGGCTGAATGGTATTTGTATGCATATAACACATTTATCCATTCACCAGTTAATGGACATTTGGGTGGCTTTCACTTTTTGGTTATTGTGAATCATGCCACTACAAACATTTCTTGATGAATCTTGGTGTGGACGTGTACTTTCATTTCTTCTGGGAATATA